GAGGCCGCGCGCCTAGAAGACGGTCTGGCGGACGTCGCCCTGGGTGATGCGGTGGTAGCCGTCGTTGAAGGTCGCGTCCTTCCAGAAGGGCACCTCCCAGGGCTCGATGGTCGGGTGGTCGGCCCAGATGGCCTTCCACCAGTAGTTCTTCTTCTTGTGGAGCTCGACCTGGAGGACGGGCTGGCCCTCGTGGAGCACGACGACCCACGCGGCCGTGTCGACGTCGACGCCGCGCGTCTCGTCGCAGTTCCAGAGGGGCCCGTCGTAGAGGGGCACGCCGCAGAGCGAGACGCCGAGCTTGAAGGTGCCGAAGGCGACGTCGACGTCCGCGACGGTCGCGCCCGGCGGCAGGGGCACGAAGAGCCACGCGTCGCCGATGCGCTGGCCCCAGCGGTAGCGCCAGGCGTCGAGGCAGCGGCCGCCCATGGAGTCCGCGGGGAACTCGTGCTCGGGGAGCCGCGACGGCGGCGGGATGATCGCGAGGAGCTCGCGGCGCGCGGCGAAGGCCTCCGCGGCGTCGCCCTCGAGGGCCGCCGCGGCGCCGTCCTCGAGCGCGGGGAAGGGCTCCGACTCCGCGCACTGGTAGCCGTGCTTGAAGACCTTGCGGCCGACCTTGGGGTCGTAGGCGCCGATGAGCTCCGTGAGCACGCCCGTGTCCTCGTCGACCATGTCGTCGAAGCCCGGCATGAGGTCCTCGCGGCCCGCCTCGGGCAGGAGGTCGTGCCAGCGCTTCGCGTCGGCGTCGCGCCGCTTGGCCTTGGCCTCGTCGGAGGCCGTGGCCCAGAAGGCCGCGTCCGCCGCGGCCTTTTTCGCGCGGCGCGCGTCGCCGGCGACGGCCTCCGCGGACATGCGCTCCTCGACGAAGCCCCGGGGGATGAGGCCGCCGGGCGCGTCGTAGGCCGCGGACGCGGCGCGCCGCTCCTCGTCGATCTTCTCTTTGCCCTCGACCATGTCCGGCGCGAAGGGGCCCTCGACCTTGGCGTGGCGCGGCGGCAGCGGCCGGCCCGCGCCGTCGAGCTTCGCCCGGACGAGGAAGTAGGCCGCGCCCATGGCCTTGTCCGCCGCGAGGCCGAGCGCCGCGTCGAAGTCGCCGTCCGTCGCGAGGGGCCCCGCGGGCTCGTCGCCGCGCCTGTGCGCGTCGCCCGCGCCGAGCGCGTCGATGACGTCGAGGCGCATGCCGTACTCGTGCTCGAGGTAGGCCAGGAAGTTGTCGAGCAGCGCGTCGCGCGGCATCCAGACCGTGAGCGTCTGCGCGTGCGGCTCCGTCATGGGGCTGCCCGGGTCGCTCCGGAGCGCGTGCGGCGGCGGCTGGATCTTGCAGAGCACGGCCGCGTCCGGCGCGAGGGCCTCGCCGTCGCAGGTCGTCGACGGCGGCTGCGCGTCGGGCGCGAGCGCGGGCACGCGCCGCGGGCCGGCCCGCGCGCGCGCGACGGCCGCGTCCGCCGGCGCGCGCGCGCCGCCGGGCTTCCGGTGGGGCTTCGTCGGCGAGCTCGGCGCGGCGAACCGCGGCGTCACGAAGCCGGGCTGGCCCTTGGCCGCGGCGCCCCCGGACGGCGACGCCCAGTCCTTGACGTCGCCGAGCGCGGCCTCGAACGCGCGCGCGTCGTCGCCCGCGCCGCCCGCGGCCGCGAGCGACGGCGTCCACCGGAACTTGGTCGGCGGGCCGCCGCCGCGCGCGAGCGTGTCCTTGCCGAAGCCCACGAGCATGCCCTCGCCGAACTCGACGAAGACGCAGATGCCCTTGACGGCGAGCGCGCGGAGGCCCTCGGTGAAGCGGACCGCGCCCGTCGCGTGCCGCGCCCAGTGCGCGCCCGCGCGGAGCTCGCGGCGGCTCGCGAGCCGGCCCGTGACCGACGACGCGACGTGGATCTTCGTGCCCACGTCGCCCTCCCGGTCCGCGCCGACGGCCGCGCGCGCGGCACCGGACTCGGCGAAGATCGCGTCCGCGGCCGCGGCGAGCGCGTCACCGACGGGCCGCATGCGCGGCGAGTGGTCCGGGTGCGTCGCGCGGACCTTCGTCGCCTTGGACTTGGACGCGTCGGCGCCCCGGGCCTCGTTGCGGGCCGCGAGCTCCGCGACGACGAGCGACACCGCGACGTAGTCGCCGGAGAGCACCGTCGACTCGGGCGCGTTGACGGCGGCGACGGCGACGACGGAGCCGCACTTGGCGGCGACGGCGTCGATGGCCGCGGAGCAGGCCTTCTCGCTCGCGCGCACGGCCATCATGCAGCCCGCGGACGGCGTCTGCGCCATGAGCAGCGCGCGCTGCGCGACGATCCGCGCGGCCTCGCCTGTGCCGAATGCAACCGCTGGTTTGGGTGGTCCCGACCGAACTCGAGACTTCTCGAGCTCGGTCACGTCGACGTCGATTCGGCCGAATTTTGGACGAATCGATGGCTCTCGTCGAGTGCTCGAAGCACGGCCGAAGAGCATTCGTCGACACTGTCGCGTACGCTCACAGTGAAGTCGAATGGAAGATGTGAGTTCGGCACGGGGCCTCGCGGCGCGTGAGGGGCCCGCTGTACGCGCGGCGCGCCCGGAGCCGCGCGAGCGCCTTCGCCCGCGCGTCGCCCTCGCCCTCGCCGGGCAGGTCGTCGTCGAGGGAGCCGTGGAAGTCGAGGAGCGGCAGGCCGCCGTTGCCGCTGCACGCCGCGGCGAGCTCGCCGATGGAGTGGCCGAGCAGGCCGCCGGGGATGACGCCCTTTGCGCGCCAGAGCGCGTCCAGGGACGCCTCGACGGCGAAGAGGCAGGGCTGCGCGAAGTGCGCCGTGTCGATGAGGTCGCCGAACATGCCCCGCTGGCCGTCCTTGGCCGGGTACCTGCGCGGCGCGGCGTCGCGGCGCGGCGCGCGCGCGGCGCGCGGGCGGACGCGCAGCACGGAGACGAGCTCCATGGGCATGGTCTGCGACATCTCCGCGGCGACCTGCGCGCGCGGGGGGGGGGGGGGTCCACCGGGGACACGGGGGGGCGCG